GGAGGCAGGGGCTGCAGCTGCAGCTCCTGCTCGAGCATGTGAGGAACAGGCTATTTTGGGCCTGTTCCGCATCCCTGTTTCCGTGCCTGAGTCTTGGGGGCAGGTCGAAACAATGAGGGCCTGAAAATGGCCCTCCGTTTCAGGCTGAAAACTCTGGGTCTGAAAAGACCCAGAAATAGGCTGAAACGAGGTAGGGCCTGCAGGCCCTCGTTTTTCAGCATCCAGGCTGAAATGAACGGGGCCTGTAAGCCCTAAGTTTTAGGCTTTTAGGCTGAATGTCCGGGACGGGCCCTGCAGGGCCCGTGTGGCTACGCAGTATGCCACATGGAGCCTGAACCTATTCTACACACCTGAATAGTCCAGGACTCGAACGCATGACCTGTTATCAATTGACTGTTAAATGTCTGCACTGCTCAGTCGTATCGTCCTTAACAAGTTCTTGATGAACATATCATACCAGTTACAGGTTGAACCAACGGGCCTAGCTCAGTCGGTACACCCACGAGCTGTTGAAATATGAATCAGACCCAAGTTCGAATCCATATACAGTCAGATGACCAAAATAAAATCATTCGGAAGAATCTGAACAGTTTCAGGTCGAGGTCACACACATCCTTCGCGCGCACGGTGAATTGACAGCGACTAGACTGACGCACTCACATGCAACATTTCACCTCAGCTCAGCTCAGCTCTGGCCTCTGCCATCCTTGCAGCAACTCCATCCCCGTGGAGCACGACTACCATCCTCGCCCGAATAGACCGCCCGGTCACTATCACCGTATATTAGTCTGAAGGTTGCCCCAAACACGGCTCTAATGACCGGGCGTTCTATTCGGGTGAAGACCGTAGTAGCAGGCAAACAAGCACGCGATGAGGATGTAAACAGGCGGTTTTCGAACGAAGGAAGTCATTGTCTGCATGTTCAAGCAGTTGCGCTCCAACGGCGATGGCCTGGCTGCTGCAACGATGACAGAGACCGGAACACCTGCGGAAGCACACTCTCACCCTTGCAGCGACCACATCCGTGTGTGTGCGATTTGTTGAAAGGAAATTATGGAAGGAGATTATTGTACTAGTGTTTGAAAGCTTGTTGCCCAGTATTCTCCCCCCCCCCCCCCCCCCCCTCTCTTTCTCCTTCTTCTTCTTCTTGCTCTAGGTCTAAATCTCAAGCTCATTCTTTCTTTTTCTTTTTATCTGTTCTTGCTGAAGTAACGCCCCCCCCCCCCCCTTTTTAGCCCCTCGGAAGTCCAACGGCCTTCCCTAGGTCATTCATCAGAATGATTTAGTTCTGTTCATCAAGGTCTATGCGACTTCGAACTCCGGTCTATATTTCAATGGTTCGCAGGTGTACCAAGTACTACCAACTGAAGCCAGGCTCGTTGCTGTCGGCGTTCGTTGCTGTCGGCGCTCGTTGCTGTCGGCGCTCTCGTTTCACATCATACTTGTCGTGAGTTGCCGTCAACTTGTTAGTGCACAACTCCTGATCACACGCACATCCTTTGCGTGGGTGCTTCACACGACCGCGACTCGCACACTCGCGCACAAAATATCGAAACCAGCCGCCCAACAAACGATCAAACAAACAGAAGTTACGAAACCCCAAGAAAGCAAAAATTGACTTAGGTGAAACAACCCCAACTTACTAGAATTTCCCAGTCCGACTAACCAGGACAACAAAGTGGCACAACTTAAAAGGACCAGCCTGTACATGCCAGCCATCGGCCAAGGGACCCCTTTTTCAGAGGCCGCCCGCCGTCAATGTATTTTATTTAATCAACAGCTCGCGAGCCTCCAAAATTTTAGGAGAGGCTCAATCGGATTCTCAACTTAGCTGAGGCCACATACTGGGACCAGAACTGGGACCAGAACTGGGACCAGAACTGGAACCAGAACTGGAACCAGAACTGGAACCAGAACTGGGACCAGAAGTTACTGGGTGGTTTAAGGGTAGAGGGACACAATTGAACGTATGTCGTTCTGGTCCCAGTTCTGGTCCGAATTCTGGTCCGAATTCTGGTCCGAATTCTGGTTCCACTTCTGGTCCGAATTCTGGTCCGAATTCTGGTTTCGGTTCTGGTTCCCAGTTCTGGTTGCAGTTGTCGTCCCAGACATTCTACAGCTGTTGAGCGGGAAAAACACATGTCATCCACCCGAATAGAACGCCCATTGACGATCGCCGCATCTGGACTGAAAGTTGCCTGAAAAAGAATTTTATAATGACCGAGCGTTCTGTTCGGGTGAAGACGGTAGTGCGTTCATTCACTGGAACACAATTTTTTTTGCCCGTACTTGTATGATTCTTTGCAATTGGCCGTAGGGTCCAGTTCTGGGCCCATGTCTGGTTCTAGTTCTGGTTCCACTTCTTGGTCCAGTTCGGGCCCCATCTGCCAACCACTCTGCAGTCGGCTGCAGTTGATAAAGGAGAACCAAATCCCATTTGTTGGAACTGTCCTCCACACTCCATTCATCGCGCAAATTCAAATTTGTCGTATTAATCCACCACAGGACCAGCAGTCTTTAACCCAAAAAAAAAAAAAGGGGGGCGACGCCGTGATGCCGTAAGAGAGATCATCGTTGCACCGACCAGCTCTAGGTTATTCAGAATCACAGTACTGCACATTTTTCACCTGCTTCCAGTGAAGGTTGAGCTCAGGTGTGCATTTCAACGGGTCACCGGTGTACCAACTGAGCTAGACCGGTTGGTCGATCCGCCAGTGTTTCCATGCACTTCCGTGTTTTCGTGTGTATACGCGGAGCCTTTACTTCCGATGATTAACCGGCCTGCCCGCGTCTCGTTGAATTCGTAAATTCGCACTCCATTGGCACATTCCCATCAGGCAAAAATTGTGTCTCCGAGAGGCTGGTGAGCTAAGGAACACACAGGGTACTCGGGGAGGCAGGAGCATGTTCTGCCGCAATTCCACTCCTCAAACAGAGAACCTAGTCCTTACAGTCCTCACAAAAGCATAGAGCCTTCGCACAAAATCGACGAAATGGGAAAACTCCAATCGCTTTGCATTCAAAAATGTGATGATAAGTAACCACCGCCTTCAACCACCCTTTCATACTGGTCACACAGCCTTCAAGTACGGAGTACGAGACGAGCACACCGTACAATGTACGTGACCCGCAGCTGAAGGATAACGAGTGCAGAACTCTAGGGCAAGCGTTCAAACCTTGTCAATTACATAATGTCAGTGCCTAAAGACACAAACAGAGAAAGACAAAAGGAACAGAGGAGGAAGCAGTGATGGAAAGGGAACAAGGGGAGAGGGAAGGGAGGGCAGGGAAGAAGGAAGGCAGAGGGGGGGAGGAGAGGGAGGAGGGAGGAGGGAGGGAGGGAGGGAGGGAGGGGGTCAAGGGAGGAAGTGAGAAAGAAAACGGGACGGAGAGAGGGAAGCAAGGAGAGGAAGAGGGAGCATGGAGGGAAGATAGGAAGGACAAAGGAAGGGGGGAGAAGACAGGGACGGAGAGAGGAGGGAGAAAGGATGGAGGAAGCAAGGAAGGAAAGGAGGGAGGTAGTTCCATAGATAGCGGGAGAGGCAAGGAGAGAGGGACAGAGGGAGTAAAACAGGTAAGAAGGGAGGGAGGGAGGCAGGGACGGAGGGAATTGTATTTTGTTTCACCGGTTACCTGTTCACCACCTGCCCATGGTCGACTGGAGAACGACTCGAGTAGATTGCTCTCCCAATAATGTTCCGCACAGGCAGTGGCCCGAAGACACGGCTATCCATAGCATCCTGAGCATTCACACAGAGCGGTGGAAGATGGGGGGGGTATACACATCTAGATGTGTATAAGAGACAGGAGAGAGAGAGAGAGAGAGAGAGAGAGAGAGAGAGAGAGAGAGAGAGAGAGAGAGAGAGAGAGAGAGAGAGAGAGAACAAGTTCAATGGTATAGGTAAGCAATCAGCCATGTGTTCTTCATTCTCACACGAAACATTTCCCCAGAGACAGACAGACAGACAGACAGGACAGGACAGGACAGGACAAGACCGACCAGGCGACACCAGACCAGACCAGACCAGACCAGACCAGACCAGACCAGACCAGACCAGACCAAACCAAACCAGACCAGACCAGACAGAGGCAGAAGGGAGGGTAAGAGAGACTAAGCATGCAAAAGTTGGTGGGAGGGGAAGGGAGGGGAGGGGAGAGAAGGGAGGGGGAAGGTAGGCGAGGGGAGCGGGAGGGATGACTGCAAGAGAGAGAGAGAGAGAGAGAGAGAGAGAGAGAGAGAGAGAGAGAGAGAGAGAGAGAGAGAGAGAGAGAGAGAGAGAGAGAGAGTTTGCTACAGAAGGGAGGAGAGAAAAGAGGGGCATGCCTTGGGGCTTTTCTGCTCATTGTCACACAAAACCCAACAACTTCCAGCTGGAAGGTGGAATGCCGTGTCTTCTTCAGAGGAGGACACCATCTCGTCTCCCTCCATTGCTGCTATCCGCCGAATCAGTCTTCTTTCAGGATCCTTTGGATCTTTGAACACTACCACATCTCCCACGAACACTGGCCTGCAACGATCATGCCACACACACAGGCTCCAATGAAAAGCAGGCACCCACGGAGGCATCAGTCCGACAGCCCGTTAGAGGCTCCGGTCAGCCACACAGGGATACCCAGGGTCCGCCAAACGCGTTTATACAAGCCGTCACAGCCCAGGTCAGACACAGGCGTCAGGAACACAGGCTCTGGCAAAAAGGAGGCAGGCACCCACAAAGGCAACAGTCACACAGATCTTCACAGGCCCAGGGCAGACACAGGCAGGAGGGGGGACACATCAGGCACAGGCGGCAGGGGTGCTGACATGCAGGTTGCACAGGTCAGACGCAGGCAAGAGGGATACCGACCATCCACAGGCATGCAGGTCAGGAAGACGCACACCAGATCCAGGCATGCATGCAGATCAGACACCAGCGAAAGAGATAGAGGCACGCAGAGGTCATACAGGTCTGATACTTGCAACAGGGATCCGGACCATGCACAGGCACGCAGGCCAGAAGCAGCGACGAGTCGAGCGGGTCATGCCACAGGCATGCAGATCAGACAGGCATGCAGGTCGCACATAGGCAACAGGGATCCCGGTCAGGCAGCAATATGCACGTCAGGAACAGCAAACAGGCATGCAGGGCATACATGTCAGACAGAAAATAGGGATAGCACACACACACACACACACATACACACACACACACACACACACACACACACACACACACAGAG